GTGGGGGAGTTCCCAGTGACCATAGAGTTAACATAGTTGCCAGCACAAGGGTCATATTAGGAATGGACACTTTAAGGTTTGAGGTGTGGTCATTGAATGTGGGGAGAATCTGAAGGCAGTGCACTTCAGCTTTCTCTAGATACCAGCAGTCCCTTTGGCCATGGTCTCATGGCCCTGAATAGCTTAAAACAGAGACATCTCAGGACTTCTAGGTTGCACCCCCTACCTGCAAAATGATTATGAATATTAGCATTTGGGATATATTTCCTCCTTGTTTTGATTGTTGAACATAATGGAAGTAGTGGAGAGCATAAATTATGATTTAGCCTAAATATATGGAAAATGGCACAATTAATTTTTTTAAACATTTTCAACGGAACCAAAAATGTAAATTGGAAGTGAGAGTTAGAACTTAAATATTTTAGAAAATTTTCATCAAGATGGCTGTCAATTTTACTGTTGGTGCTCTACTGTTGAATAAGGGTCACATGACTCTGAGTTTAGACAGACATTTCTGCTACCATAGCCTGATGACTTGGATCTCCTCCTTGGTCTTTAGGCTTATGTGAGCCTGACCACTGCTGTAAGTGATATGCCTTTTTGGATAAGACTTTGACTGGGGCTCCAGAAACCCCTTATCATCTGCTTAAAGATCACAGGGTTCTTGTCTGTCCAGGACCATCTGCATAAAATTATCCAATTTATATTCTGCCAGTCAAATAAGTGTGTCAAACCAAGGCTTGGTTAAAAACTGAGAGAAAATAACCATGGAACACAAACAATTTGCCTGAGTATCTGAATGCTTACTTGTGAGACATGTATTAAATCAGGCTTTATCGTAAAATAGAGGAGCTCATATCTCTTAGATATTTTTCTCTCTCTGGTATATCTGCTGGTCACCTGACCATCTTTATCCTTGTTGTCGCTAAAATCCTCTGTCTCCTCTGCATGTGTTTTTCAAGTCTTATGATCTGGGGTAGGTCTTGGTGTCAATGTTCATTATTGTATCAGTGTAAGGGTTTGTGTTCCTGACTACTGTTGTGACTGATCAGCTGTTACCATCTGGAGAGAATGAAAGATTAGGATTCCAATGCATTGATTTTTTTTTTACACTGAGTCTGATATTATCAACTTCTCACCACATCTTTATGGCTTTAAATTGAGCATTTAAAATATCAATTTGTATTCCGCCTTACCTATATTCACCATCCAAGGTGAGTGAACTTTGATGTGCATGTTCATTGTTTTGGGAGTGAATATTAGATCGCGCCTTCAGAACAACCGTTTCCATTTTGTATCATGGCATCTCCCTCTAAAGCATAATGGATTTTCCTCCTTCCATTTTGTATCATGGCATCTCCCTCTAATGGAAGGAAAATCTAATGGATTTTCCTCAGTCTGAATTCTTGTTAGCTATTTTCCATTGCAATAAAATATACATTGACAGAGTCCAGGCCCTCTTCCTCAGCCACTCACTGCATGGTGATGAAGCTGCAAGAAAAATGACAAGACTACATTAGGAGTTTGTACATTTGTGTTGGCCAAGCTCATAAGCTATGTATTTACCAGGCTCCTATTCCACCCCCAAATTTTCAGGGACTCCCTCCAGATTCCCCAGTCTCTTCTCTACTAGATGTTCTGTCTGTCCTCCATTCCAATAGCTCTGTGTGTACTTGCATTCCCTTCTATGCCAGGGGTCAGTGTACCCCCACACCAGATTTATGTGTTTATTGCCCCCATTACTTCTTTTTGGTCTCCCCCACTGTCTGGGTGCTAAGTCATTCAGTATGTCAGCATGTTGTTGGGGTTTCCCTCAGACGGGTCGGCAAACTTTTCAAACCAAAGAGCTAAACTACATCAAAATTCAGAAACCGTGGTCAACAAAGAGCCATATAAGAGTGCCCATTTGCATGACTGACAATATTGATAATATTACAATATTATTGATAATTGATATGATGATTAATAATAGCATAAAGGAAACATTGTACTCACAGACTTTATTTAATGGGACTTCTGCTGCTGCATCTTTTTGCACATTTCTTTGAAGCTTACATCATAACTGGTTAAATCCAGCTTTATGCCCGCATTCAGGCTGTCTTCTGTCAATTTTAAGGCAGGGGGCTGGGGATGTGGGGGTGCAGGAGTCTGGACTGAGGTGTATGAGGAGCTCAGGATGGGGCATTTGGGTGTATGATGGGCTTAGGGCACAGCATTGGAGTGTGGAGATGCAGGAGTGTTATGGCAGGGGGCTGGAGATGTGGGGGTGCAGGAGTCAATGTTGGAGTCTATGAGGGACTCGGGGCAAGGGGCTGGGGTGTGTGGGAGGTGCAGGAGACAGGGCAGGGTTCTGGGAGTGGGAAGGAGAGTATGTGGCGGGGGGAGACAAGGAGGGAGATCACTTTACCTGTCTGGGTCTGGGCTGCTGCACCCAGGCAGCAGTGGCTGGATGAGGGGCTGGGCCAGGATTGCCACAGCTGAATTGTGACCTCCCTTGCTACCCATGCCACAGCAGGAGCGGGGGACTGGAGCCAGACCATGGGGCCTCCCCCAGGATCAGGGCCGGGGACAGGACTCTGTGGCCAAATGGGGGCTGGGCTCTGGCTGGGGCTACAGCCCTGGCCCTAGCCCCAGCCACAGACCAAGCCACTTGCCACAAAGCCCGCCCTGGGAGCCCCCAGGGCAGCCACCACGTGGCCCACCCTGGCTGTTGCTCCAGTCCCG